CCTAAACTCCTAAACCCTAAATCCTAGACCCCGGAACCCTAAACCCTGAGCCCTAAACCCTACACTCCTAAAACCTAAATCCTAAACGCCGGAACCCTAAACTGAGCCCTAAAACCTACACTCCTAAAACCTAAACCCTAAACCTCGGAAGCCTCAGTACTGCGGGTTTAGTTCGGGATGTATGTTTAAGCAGTGGTCCTCACCTCGAATTGCACACCTGAAAGCCCGCCCCAAACCGATCAAGGCTTTCGGTTTGAGGTTGGATGTTTAGGGTCGCGGAACAGCTCACATCCAGGTCGTATCCTCAGCATCTTCGCTCCTGCGTTTGAGTACTTGCCAGCTCGGTGTTGTTACTGGGTGCTGTTATCACTAGCGGCCCAAACCCCCTTCCCCACAAGAGTTCAAGAATGACACGCATAAACCGTAGGACCAGAAGACAGAAGTGTATAGAAAGCCAGATCTAGATGGCAATGTATAGTTTCTTGATCAAGTCGTCTTTTGTCGCACAGTGGTGTAAAGAGTGCTCTCCCCCGAAGCGGGAGGGTTTAGGGTTTTAGGGCTTACGGCATAGGGCTTAGGGTTCACGGGGTCTTCGCATATCCAAATACTAAATCCCCAAGCCCAGACCCTCACTGCAAAGCCGTCAACCCCGGAACACCCGAAGCCACCAAACCGCAAAACCCGCAAGCGTCAAAAAGCCCTTAAACCCCGAAACCCTGAGCCAACGCCGGCTCGCCTCGTTCTGCCTGTGTATTCAGCATAATGTTGTCCGTGGTCTTCGATGGAGGTATCCGGGACAGCGCAAACTCCAATGTCATCCGGTACTGCTCCTTCAGGGTTAGGAACCCTAAACGATGAACCCCCAACCTTGCGTGAACCCGAATTCCTACACCATCCGAACCTTCAACACCTAAACCCTGAATTAGAGGAACCCTTAGGCATCCCTATTGCTTCAGCACTGTTGACGATGTGGGGTCCGGAAAAGGCTGCTCGAGGAGGCCGGCATCCACTGCCCATCCGTTCGGGGAGCTTCCGGCAGCAAACCAAGTGCAGGTCAGCACGTGCACGCCAATAGCGCACCTCATTTAGAGTTAACGCTTCCAGGCTTTCACTTTAGGGCTTTGGGTTAGGGGTATGGCTTAGGCAAGCGGTGTTTTGCGCTCCAACCCAACATGTAGATGTTCAGTCTGCGTAGTTTTCTGAAAGTCAAAGCCACAGACCGTGTATCAACCAAGCACTTCGAGTGTACCTTTCGTATGGGGCAGCGGCGGTGTCGTCGCGAGCATCCCGCTGTCAAGCAAGATACCATGAGATTTTAAACTGGAACGGTGGGTTTGAAGCCGAATCCTATCGAAGCTTCCTGCGGACATCTACAGCCCCTTAAGATCCCTTACGGCTTGCGGCTCAGGGCCGTCATAGTTCAAGTTCTTCGGTTTTCCTCCGTGCATACGAGCAGCAGCACTTGGAGGCTGCTCAATTGTAGGCTCTTTCACATGGAGAGCTTACCATCGTGCCGTTTACGTACGGACCTGGAGATTCGAACGACCCAAGTTTTGAGGCCGGACCTGTCTCACAGTGAGGGAATGGTGTAGTGGAGGAGGCCCTACGGCTTTTAACAGGGTTGGCGGGGTAGTGACATTGTGCTAAAGCTATGCAGGGACGATAACGGGATAGAACCCTAAACCCTAGGCCCCCAAACCCTAAACCCCGAAACCCTGCGGAGGAAGCAGAACTGGTCTGCGATTCATGAGCGCCCACTGCTTGCGTAGTCTAGTCTGCAAACGGCAGTGTTTCGAGGCCTTCGCGTCCATGCACGGAAACCCTGAGATGAGATCTTTCATTCCCGAACACTCCAACATCGGAGCCCTTGCTGACCAAGTTTCTTCGTTTGGGGTCTAGGGCGGAAGCATTGATGGGTTGAGGGCTTGGGGCTTATGCATTTAAAGGCTTAGGGGTTTAGGCCTTAGGTCTGGACGAACCCCATCTATTCAAAAGAAGGCGGGCTCAGCTCTTCAGAGAGCCTCGACGCCATCGGGCCCGGCATCTACGAAACGCATGCCCCCCGAACCTCGAAACGTTTGGGGTTTAGCTTTAACCCTCAAGCCCTAATCCTTGGCCCCTAAACCCTTCAGTCGCTTTGGGTTGTGGCGTTGCGGGAATATGCAACAGAATCCCGGGAAACCCCCTGACACCCTCAACCCTAAAGCCCTCAAGCCGGGGCTCGGACACTTTGAAACCTAACTGCCCTGTTCCCGGGCTTATAGGGTGTAGGATTTAGGGGTTAGGGTGTAGGCTTTAGGGTTTAGGGTTTAGGGTGTAAGGTGTAGGCGAAACACAACCAAACGGCTGGAAAATACAACCACTCTATGGAAAACACAACTGAACCACTATTGTGGGCTAGCCCAAACGGGAGAAATCACAACTGGCCATTGCGGTGCCTTTATAAGTTTGGACATTCTCTGCAGGAAATCCATGGTACAGCCTTAAGGTTCCAGCACCAAAGTTAGGTAAAGGTGGTTGTTTTCCTCCCTTCTTTTTACGCCCTAGCACGATTGAGGACTCAACATGATTTTTTTCGGTTTGTATGCCTTTGGGTGATGTAGGTACGAAAGACATGTAGGCAATACTTAACATGCCTTTTCCGTTTGTATGCGTTGACACCCATCTACTTGTAACTCGCCTTATTCTCCCGCGTAGGGTTTAGGGTTTAGGGTGTAGAGTGTAAGATTCAGGGTTTGAGGGTTTAGGCCCTAAACCCTAAACCCTAAAACCCTAAAACCCTAAACTAGGGTTCCTGCAAAACCCCTAGGTTTCCTCACGCCGTCTTGGCACAGCAGCAGCGTGATGCAGATGTTTGCAGCAGCCCGCATCTCCAGCCTTCCGGCTGACGAGTCGGTCTTATTTTGGGTTCAGGGTTTAAGGTTTTGGGTTTAGGGTTTTGGGTTTAAGGTTTAGGGTTTTGGGTTTAGGGTTTAGGGTTTAGGGTTTAAGGTTTAGGGTTTAGGGTTTTGGGTTTTGGGATATGCGGGGGTTCTAGACTTGCATAAAGGGTCTGGGAAAAAGGCCCGCATGGCTTGGGGTTTCCTAACATACATCTGCGTACGGACTAGAAGGAGGCCTTTGCGCCTCAAGCCCTACAGTAAACCCCAAAAAGTTGGAAACCGGATTAAGGACAATTAGTGCTGGGATTCCCTATACATTCCTCTTAAGGCTTGAGGCTATTGGGTTTCCAACTTTTGGGCTTCTACTGTACACCCTTATCCCTCAACCCTAGACTCCCCGATGCTATGTCGGTTCAGGGTTCAGGAGCAAGGGCCTGTCCTAGGACTGGGACTTAGGGTTTAGGGTTTGGGGTTTAGGGACTAAGCCGCGTTCAGCTTACAGTTCGAGATTTAGGGTTGAACATGTACAGAGATGTGAAGGCCCGAATGGAACACAGCACTCGACAAACTGATCTGATGTGCCATGCAGAAAGGGGTGATTTCTTGCAGAGAAGAATCAAGATTGCCAGATGAAGGAGAATGGCAAGACTACAGAAAGTCGACACTCCACCAAGCACTCTCTGTGCAAACTACCACAGCACGCCACCCTTCACAAATGCATCAGCAACCCTAGCCCCAAACACCGAATCCTGAACCCTCAACTCTGAACACTCATCGTTTGGAAGGCGAAAAGGAGCCCCTACTTGGAATAGGGTGTTGGGGTATATTGTACGACAACCATGTAAGGACTATGATGGGATGATTCAATATCGGACCCCTGCATATCAGCTTATTCGAATTCAGACCCCTATGTTAGAGTTACATCAGGACCTCAACGGTTTCGTCGAAGCCTCGTGTGGAGAAATCTGTGTGATGAAGACAATTCATGACCAGCCCCTGCCTCCGCAACTCGCCGCCGTTCCACCTGTGGCAGGGCGACGACTGCTGCGGCAGTTTGGGTTTAAGGTTTGGGGTGTGGGGTGCTGCCACCACCATGGCAGGTCGTAGTCTGCTTGCAGCTGAGGCTTGACATACTTTGAAAAGCTTTTCGGATGAGGCCGGCTCAGCTTCACTTCCTAACTGAAAGGGAGTTTCTGCAATGCAAGAGCATGTTCCGCTTTATGTAACCAAGGCATGATAAGAGTGTGCACGGAAGCGTATAGATAGAGAGATAAATAGATAGATAGTTAGTTAGATAGATAAATAGTTCAATAGATAGATAGATGGATGGATAGATGGATGGATAGTTAGGTAGATAGATAGGTATACATACTAGGACGGACACCGGTCGGTCATCGGAAAGGCAAAAAAGCACCTCTGAGAGGTACTTGTTCTCACCTGTGGCAGCACTGATGTGCCAGGCCTGAACACCATCTTCACTTTGAAATGCCTTCACCTGGGCTGAATGAGCAGTGAGCAGTGGAGACGCCACCTTGCCCATCATGATGGCTGTGCAGCGGTTCAGACGGTTGCAGATCCAAAAAAGAGCCATATGGATGGTGTTCTTGAACTTCCTGTGGGGTTTTTTCCTGAGCATCTGCTCATGTGACTGCTTCAGGCCCAACGCAGTTGTGTCTGGGTTCTCGTCATCACGATGCCCTGGAGCCCTGAGATGAAGACGAGGCCGAGGGCACGGGCACGGACACAGCATCTGTTCCTGCTGCTTCATCATCCACAATTAAGGGAATCACAGGAGGCACCTCCATCAACTATGGATATTTGTTACCAGCATTACTGACATGTCTGCCTCCGAGCATTCCTCCGCTAGGCCTTTGGTTTAGGGTTTAGGGTTTTTTTTAAGGTGGACATGTGCACTCTCCACTCACAGCACGAGTACACTGGCCATCTTGGCCCTCCACTACAGAAAACACACACCCTCTCAGACGTCACCGAACTTCACCGCACGGGCTCACATTACGGGTAGGATTCGGGATCTGGTGCGGAGACAGCTGCAGGTACTGTTAGAACATCACCCTCACACTGAACAGGAGCCGGGTTTAGGGTTTAAGGTTTAGGGTTTTAGGGTTTAGGGTTTTGGGGTTTAGGGTTTAGGGTTTTGAGAACCCTACGCTGCACTAATGGCCCAATTTTCCCTGATAGTCTTGCTCTTTAGCCCCGGAATACCAAATCCCAAATATAAAACCTCTGCACCCCGCACCTCCGATTCCAAATGCTTTACTGGACAAAAAAACCATTAAACCCCTAAATCCAAGCCCTTAAGTTTATCAGTCACCCCGGCCCAAAGCTAAGGCCATGCATTCTGCGGCTCTCCCAAACCCTAAACCCTAAACCCACCTAAACCCTACACCTATACCCTAAAACCCTACACCCTACACCCTAAACCCTACTCTCCGCCGTGCGCTAACAAAACAGAGCCGACATTGCACGAGAGGCTTTGCGGTTTCGACTCACGGCTTGCGGTCTCGGGATTCTCGGGCTCAGGGTTTCTTTTTTCCGGTCTTGCTGGGGCCATGTCGGCGCGCGCTCAATTCCAACCTGCAAAAGCGACTGTACAGTTCCTTCCGCCAAGCCTGGAGCAAAAGACAGGAATGGCAGGTCTAAAGCGCTCGTAAAAAGAGCGTTCAAAGCATCAAACTCCCCTCAACCTGGAGTGAGATGCGCCCAAAAAGGCATGGGCCCAGCCGTTCGTACGGCTGGTTGCCACGCCAGGGGAACTCTGCTAGGGGCCTCGGCGCAGACGGGCTGCATGTCTGCATGATCATACACCCGTTGACACACATCGGAGTGCTGGAGGTGCTGGGCCAGGCGACTGGTGTGCCAGAATTCGGTGCCGCAGCGCTCACAGCGCGTGCCCCATGCCAGCTGAAAGCCAATGGCCCGCTGTTGGTGCTTGCGGGCCCTGTGGACGGCCAAGCGTCGGGCGTCAAGAAAGGCCAGCCCGCAGGTATCACACGTGTGAGTGAGCTCCGGGTGGTTCGTCTGCGTGACTGCCGGCACTTCGCAGGCATCGATGTCGCGTGATTGCAGAGCGACATGCGAGTGGCGTTGCTTGCACAGTCGCAAGTAATTCCGGCAGAGCTTGTCGCAGTGGTTGGGCAACTGCGACAAAAGTTGCTGTGGCGGAGGCGGGTTTGTAGT